GGGAATGTTTATTTTTGCATATTATTTTTTGCATGAAACAATTTCTGGAACCAAACTCGCGTTTTTGTACACATTTCTTTCTAGAGGTAATAGGTAATTAATTTCCAATTTATTAAGAAAACCACTGTATAATGTGTGTGTTTAATAATATATTACACAATGACTATAATTATTTTAGGTGAATTGGAACAGAGATCCATTGTTACAGCTACTTGTGTTCATTAAGTAGGTAGATGAATGTCTGGACAGCTTTAATGGCAGCACAAAGTTCCTATCTACTAGAAAAGTAAAATGTATGCTGAGTAAAAAATCTGCACATGTAGTATTGGCAAAGGACTTTTGAAATGATTAGAGATTAGCTATTTCTTACATACACCTACCTCTAACAGCCACTCTAAAGGAAGAAAAAAAAATTGAATCACAAAAGGGCAGAATTTTAAATCGGGATGCATTGGAAAATAAATTTGGGGACATCAGGTCGGTTTTGGATTTTATAGAGAGATCAATCCCAAGAAAAGTTAATTTATCCTGCAGAACAACCAGTAGTTTAAGTAGGATTTGCTATAACTATTAGAAATTTTCTTTGATAATAAATTGTAATATAGGTACCAATTATTGTTTCAAATGAAATTGAAAAAGAGTTAAATATGAAATTAGATTTTTCATGTATATTCATTCGAACATTGTAAGATAATCTATAATTAAGGGAATATGGAAAATAGGTATACCCTGGTGGTGTAAGAGAAAGGTAAGGGGCAATTACAAAAATGTATTTATCTTTAAATAGTGTTTATTATTAATAATATTATTTGCTATGTTTGAAAAGTACCTCCTGCTTCTGAACAGATCAGACTACTAGTTGGAGAAGGTCCACCTAGTAACTAAATTAGGAGACTAGGAAAACTTTTACATGACTGGGGACACAACAGGAATGCACACACACAAGATACACAAACAAACGAAATAACAGGGGTAAGCCTTCAGCAACGTCCTGTTTAAATGATGATAGTATGTCATCCTTCATTCCCTTTTAGAAGGCATGGCATATAAATCTATTGATCTTGATTACTATAAGAGGAGTTAGCAGGGGTCTAGCAGGTTTCGATCCAGTTTATAGGATGGGAACTTACTTGACTCGGGCCTTATACATTTGTGTTGAGTGTATGTGTGTTTCGTTTCCATGGTTTCTATTAATATAAACAGTCATAACATATCCATACCTTCTTGCCAGACTAACATAAGTGACATTTGTTCAAATGGCACTTATGATAGTCTGGCAAAAAGGTATCGATACTATACTTTATAAAATATTTGTTACATTAGTTTTTAAATATATTATGAATATATAACAACTGTTACTTTCTTTGTAATTTGTCACAAAATGATACGAGGTACTTTCTAAACGAAGCAATTGTAGTTTGTTTTTCTGTACCTTACAAAAATATAATTTATAGAAAAAGAGTTTGGTGTATTATTTTTCCAAGTTTAAATATTTAATAATCAATAGAATTTTCAAGTTTTTTTTTTAGCGAAATTTACAAGAGTAATAAAAACTATGTTCACTGTTTATATTAAACTGATTAAAACTTCCTTTATTAAAATGATTATTTATGTCATAAAAAATTTGATGTTATTGGAAGCTTTTATATTTTTTAATATACAGTGAAACAATAGTTTTTGTTTCTCCTGTAAATTTGTATAGAAAAACTATTTATTTCTGAATCCATGTTTGAATTTCCCGCCCTAAAGCATTTTTAATTTTCCCGCTATTTACTAGTGGCGCCATCATAGACTGGTTGTGGTTACAATCGCCCAAATAACTTTTACCGAACAAAAAAAATACATTGAGTTACACGTCTCGCTGGATTGTCTCTGGCTTTGTTCTTCCAGTTGAGTGGATGCATCCGATGTGGATATTCAAACGCGTCATAAGGAACATCGAAAAAGAAATCATCGATGTTAATTAATAACATCGATATTGACATCTAAAAATCGATACATCGTGCGCATCCGAACATTGCGTTCGGTTTGCCACGTTCCATTAACTCCTTTAACACTTTTAACTCCAAACGACTCTTTTAGCGTTCGGTTTAGTCCGATTAGTGACAGTTTAACACGCTTAAATGTCATTTAAAAGCACCCTAAAATTTGTCCCGCTCCAGCCCCTGACTGACCGAACTCGCCTCTAGAGTGAACTTATAAAATTGACATTATTGTGCCAGAGACAATCCAGCGAGACGTGTAACTCAATGTATTTTTTTTGTTCGGTAAAACTTATTTGGGCGATTGTAACCACAACCAGTCTATGATGGCGCCACTAGTAAATAGCGGGAAAATTAAAAATGCTTTAGAGCGGGAAATTCAAACATGGATTCAGAAATCGTTTTTGTATACAACAAATTTACAAGAGAAACAAACACTGTTTCACTGTTTATTAAAAAATATAAAAGCTTCCAATATCATCAAATTTTTTATCATATAAATAATCATTTTAATAAAGGAAGTTTTAATCAGTTTAATATAAGCAGTGAACATAGTTTTTATTACTCTTGTAAATTTCGCTAAAAAAACTTGAAAATGCTATTGATTATTAAATATTTAAACTTGGAAAAATAATACACCAAACTCTTTTTCTATAAATTATATTTTTTTAAGGTACAGAAAAACAAACTACAATTGCTATGTTTAGAAAGTACCTCCTATCATTTTGTGACAAATTACAAAGAAAGTAACAGTTGTTATATATTCATAATATATTTAAAAACTAAAGTAACAAATATTTTATAAAGCATAGAGTATATCGATACCTTTTTGCCAGACTATCATAAGTGCCATTTGAATAAATGTTGCTTATGTTAGTCTGGGAAGAAGGTATCGATATGTTATGACTGTTTATTTTAATAGAAACCATGAAAATGAAACAAACACACATACACTCAACACAAATGTATAAGGCCTGAGTCGAGTTCCCATCCTGTAAACTGGATCGAAACCTGCTAGACCCATTCCGTACACCCCCTGCTAACTCTTCTTAGGGTAATCAAGATCAATAGATTTATATGTCATGCCTTCTAAAATGGAATGAAGGATGACATACTATCATTTAAACAGGACGTTGCTGAAGGCTTACCCCTGTTATTTTGTTTGTTTGTGTATCTTGTGTGTGCATTCCTGTTGTGTCCCCAGTCATGTAAAAGTTTTCCTAGTCTCCTAATTTGGTTACTAGGTGGACCTTCTCCAACTAGTAGTCTAATCTATTCGATCTGTTCTGCAGCAGGAGGTACTTTTCAAACATAGCAAATAATATTATTAATAATAAACACTATTTAAAGATAAATACATTTTGGTAATTTTTTTGTCATTGCCCCTTACCTTTCTCTTACACCACCAGGGTATACCTATTTTCCATATTCCCTTAATTATAGATTACCTTACAATGTTCGAATGAATATAATATTTTACTCATGAAAAATCTAATTTCATATTTAACTCTTTTTCAATTTCATTTGAAACAATAATTGGTACCTATATTACAATTTATTATCAAAGAAAATTTCTAATAAAGTTATAGCAAATCCTACTTAAACTACTGGTTGTTCTGCAGGATAAATTAACTTTTCTTGAGATTGATCTCTCTATAAAATCCAAAACCGACCTGATGTCCCCAAATTTATTTTCCAATGCATCCTGATTTAAAATTCTGCCGTTTTGTGATTCAATTTTTTTTTTTCCTTTAGAGTGGCTGTTAGAGGTAGGTGTATGTAAGAAATAGCTAATCTCTAATCATTTCAAAAGTCCTTTGCCAATACTACATGTGCAGATTTTTTACTCAGCATACATTTAACTTTTCTAGTAGATAGGAACTTTGTGCTGCCATTAAAGCTGTCCAGACATTCATCTACCTACTTAATGAACACAAGTAGCTGTAACAATGGATCTCTGTTCCAATTCACCTAAAATAATTATAGTCATTGTGTAATATATTATTAAACACACACATTATACACATATACATAATAAATTGGAAATTACTTACCTCTAGAAAGAAATGTATACAAAAACGCGAGTTTGGTTCCAGAAATTGCTTCATGCAAAAAATAATATGCAAAAATAAATATTCCCCCCCAAAGAAAAATAATTAAACAACAAAATCAGACTAAAAGAAATATACGGGGCCCAAATTAAATTAATTTTAATAAAATGCACATGTTCATAACAACATTCATAACATTGTCAGTTGTCAGTTTTAATACTTTTAATCGATATTTCGACGTCAAAAAACCAGCAACACCAGCGCCCTCTGAAAATGGTGTTAGTTTTATTGGAGAGAGATAGACATATGTAAAGATCAATGTAAAAGAAAAAGAGGGTCATATATGTAATTTAAATGGACCACCGAACATATTTTCCTATTAAGTTACACGTCTCTGTTGTCTCTGATTGTGCGTTTGGAAATTTGTTGGCAACACTGTCTGTGTCCGTTCCGTTGCGTAGATATAGAGAAAGTAAAAGTTGAAAAGTCTTTTGGTAGGTAGAGAGGGGGTAAACGTCAAACCACGTCGGGCGGCTCCGAGAATTTCACAGTAATGTTTACCTGCCAGTGTCGTTTCATAGAATAAGTAATTTTAAATTGTTATCGGCGGAACCGGACAATCGCATGTATTTATGGATTATAAATAATTATTAAACATGTATTATAATATTCAAATTATAATTTTACAAAATTTCAGCAGCCATTCACAATTAATTAAACTATTTACTCGAAATTGTTATTAACATCTATAAAATAATTTTGTACGCCAATGTATCGCGTCCACTTCGGTGAGATCCGGTGCCAACCTGTCAATTTATGTGTATAAAGTGGGAGAACTGGCAAAAGCATTTCCAACTTTTACTTCTGTTCTACCATTTTGTTTGTAGTTTGGCAGTTTGGCTTTGTTGTTCCTTTGTTGTACAGTTGATAGAGCGAACTTGATAATTTTAAATAAATTATTTTAAAAATGAACCAAGAACAAAAAAGTATATCTGTGGTCGTAAATGGATTTGGGGGATATGATGTTCTTAGTGTAAGTTATCTGGGAAACATTAGCAAACATTTCAAACATTTATTTTAGGTTGAAGATTTCGAATTGCTTTCGCTAGCCGACAATATCCAAGTTAAAGTGGAATATGGAGCTTTAAATTTTGCTGATTTGTATACTAGAAAAGGTTTTATGCCTAATAAGAAAGCACCTTTTATTTTAGGAATAGAATGTACAGGTGTTGTAACAAAAATAGGCAATATTAAAAACTCAAAGTTTAAGGTTAGTGCTTTTGTTTTTCGCTTTTCTAGACGTAATAAACGTATGTATTTTAGGTAGGCCAGAGGGTAATATGTTACGATTTTAATGGAGGCTTATATAGGGAAATTCTACACATAAATCCTATGAGCTGTTTCTTATTGCCTGATTCAATAGATACCAAATTGGGAGCAACTATTTTTGTCAACTATTTGACTGCTTACTTGTCATTGATAAATATTGGCAATCTTCGAGAAAACGAGTCTGTACTTATTTTATCATGCACAGGTAAATATTAAATTGATTATCTAAAATGAAAAAAGGGGAAAAGTTAATTTCTGTAACAATGTGGTACCTCAAAAAACGGTTTTATTTGGGTATTTAAGTGAAGATTGTCTAATTATTTGTGCTTTGTGTGGGTGATGTTCGAATGTTCAAACTATCTTCAGATTAGTTTTTAGAGATTATACTCCAGTTGACTACTTCTCATCTGATGAGCCCAAAATAGGGTGAAACCGGTCGTGGAATGTTTTCAACAGAGAAAGTAAAATTTGTACTTAAAATGTATTGATTGAGGTGATAGCAATAAAATTATTTAATTTATAAATAATATTCTTATATTAATGTGTAAAGATCCAAAAAATATGTAAATGCTGATATAAATTATCTAAATGTTCAAAGTGCTTTAAAAAAAATGAGATCAAAATCGAGAAATACTAACTTCATTATAATCTTAAAGTAATTTTACTTATTGAAACTAGAATAACTGATGACATTGAAGATATTGAAATAAACCATGAAAATTACAAACATCGTGGTTGGTTTAGGAACATTTCCTATGTGTAAAATCACTAAATTTTCAGTAGACACAAAAAACTTATAGAACTTTGTGTATAAGTGCACTAATACAAGGTAATCATTATTGAGAGACAATGTATTTTAATCGCTTACTACACACAGGAGATATTTTAAATTTGTAGGGAGCAACTAGATGGTGCTAATGGTACCAAAATATGTAAATTTTTTAAGGTTCCATCAATTTATTAATAAAGAAATACAAAAACGGCATATCTAGATCCAGAGTTCAAGACTATGTGTGTCCTACAAATATCAAATTTTATAATGTCACTGAAAAAGAATTATGTACCTACTTACTTGTACTTGTCCAATGGCAAACAAAAATTACTTTGAAAATAGACGTAATACAAAATGGGTAAATAATGAGATTGTTAAAATGGGAAATAATTTAAAAAACATGTAATGGCTCACAAAAAAATATTTCTGATAGTCATATATTGAAACGATACACAATGGAAAAAGAGATGTATGCACAAAAAATAATAAATTCAAAAAGCAATTTATTTAAGAAAATTTAGCAAACAAAAATATGCAACAAAAACAAAAAATTGTTTGGAAAACTGTTAATTCCAAACTGAATAAACAAAAAATTGCTAATTTTAGTGAAATACATATGTTATTGTTACTTTTTATTATGTTAAGACAAAACAATTTTTGTATACATTCGTTAATTTCAATTAATACTTATGTCATTAATAGTATAAAAACAAAAACATTTACAATAAATACAATAAACAGACCGAAAACAGAGTCGTTATTGGTGGAAATGTTCCAAATTAAAATCTATTTGCTCTGGCGTCCCACAGGGCTCTGTGCTAGGACCCCTTCTCTTCCTATTATACACGTTTGATATGACTAAATATTTACAATTTTGCAAAAAACAGTTATTTGCAGACGACACTCAATTATATTTTCATTTTAATCCTTCCGAATATGAAATAGCTAATGTCCGCATAAATCAAGATTTGCATAAAATAAGCGAATATGTGAAAGGGCATGGTTTGAAATTAAATGCTAAAAAATCAAAATCTGTTGTTTTCTCCAAAAATATATAAGAATATGCTTAAATCGGGCATGCAGATTAGGGTAAATGGTGAACAAATAAAATTTTCTCCTTGTGAAAAGAATTTGGGTTTGTATTTAGATGAAAATTTAAAATTTGTTGAACATGTTTCTCAAGTGTCAAAAAATTGTTATTTTCGTCTAAGACTCTTATATGCAAGTAAACAATATTTAACATTTAACATGAAAAAAACCCTATGTGAAAGCTTGGTAATCTCTAAAATAACATACTGCATCTCTGTATACTATCCTTGTCTCGACAGGGCTACTGCAAACCGTTTACAAAAAATACAAAATTCGTGTTGTCGGCTTGTTTGTAACAAAAGAAAATATGACCACATATCACCTTACATTATTTCATTAAAATGGTTGAAAATGGATTCTTTGTTCAAATTTCTTTTCTTATTATTTTTAAGCAATTTATTAAAAGCTAATTCAACATTATATTTAAGAGAACGGATTACGTATAGGATTGACGCACATGCCTTAAATTTGCGAAATCGCCATACTATCGCCATGCCACGACATAGAACTGCCATGTTTCAACGGTCATTTAGCTATAATGTCGCTAAAGTATACAATTCACTAAATACACACTTAAAATCATATTTGAGAACTAGTTCATTTAAAATAATGTTAAAATCATATTTTCTTGGTAGCCAAGCAAATGAAAATATTTAATTCATATTCTATTTTATTTATTTTATTTGTTTTATTTAATTCTTGTTCTTAATTTAAATTTGAATTCATCCGTAGACATTCAGCGTAATGTAGAGTAGGTTAGGTTTAAGTTAGTTTTAGGATTTGTGATATGGTTAAGTTGAATGGCCATTTGGCTAGACTACGCCATTTATACTTTGTAAATGTTGTTTTGCTGGTATAATAAAGACGTTTATTATTATTATTATTATTATTAAGACTATAACTACAATACATATAGACTGAAGAACATTTTAAAAAATTATATAAGTCAATTCATAATGTCGATAAAATTCATGGATATCATAGAAAACATTCTCCTTCAGAAAAGTTTTTATTTTTTTTTTGGAAAATTTTATCTCGTTAAGCAGACGCCACTCAAGGGGAAGTAGATTAAACAACTTAACATGTAAAAATTGAAAAGAATTGTGATTCCTTGTTAGTCGAAAAAATGGCAATCTTACTTGCATATTTCTTGTTTTATAGGCGTTGCATAAGTTAATAATATTCCTCTTTGCATAAATTAAACATTCATAGATATATTGATTTACACATGTCAGAATTCCTAATTTTTTAAAAAGTGTACGACAACTGTCCCTGAAATTAGTTTTAGTTATTATTTGAATAGCTTTCTTTTGTGCAATCAATATTTTACCTAGATGGCAAGAGCCTCCCCAAACAAGTATACCGTATGTCATAATGCTGTGAAATAAACCATGATAAGCCATAAGTAAGACCTTGTCATTTACTTGATATGCAAGATTTCTTAATAAATATGAATAACTAGATAACTGTGTTAGAAGATTATTTATATGCGGTTCCCAAGAAAAACTATTGTCAACTTGAACACCCAAATATTTAATTGAACATCTCTCATTGTTTTCTAATGGATTTAAATTAAATATTAAATTTTGAGTTTTATCCTCATTTAGTTTTAAATTTACCATCTTAAAATAATTAGAATATTCCAAAATGGTTTCATTATGGGAGCAGTATAGATCATTTAAAGAACTGGCGATGTCCAGGACGGTACGGTCATCAGCATAAATAACTTCTTTTTTCTGGATATACTCGAAAATATCGTTAATGAAGATTATAAAAAATAGCGGACTCAGAACTGAGCCCTGTGGGACTCCATGTTCTATACTCCTTACTTTTGACTTATCACCATTTACTTGGACATACTGACTACGTTCCGACAAGTAGCTACTTAAAAGTTTTAAAGGAGTTCCTCTTATACCATACATTTCCAGCTTCGATAAAAGTAGTTTATGTGAAACACAGTCACATGCCTTCGATAAATCTAGACAAGAGACCATTATCTTGTTACCAATTTCTAGTTCTTTGGAGATCGCTGAAACTAAATCTACCAAAGTTGAAACTGTAGATCTTCCAAGTCTAAAACCAAATTGTTGTGCATTTAAAAGATTATGTGTTTCAAAATTATGTGTTTATATGCATATGATGCTAATGGTATAAGATTAACAGAAAACTTAGATATTGCCAACATGTTTATAGGATACATTTCTTCAATTGCTAGTTATGTAATTAAAAATCATTTTCCCAACACTACTTTTTATTAATTACAACCACTATGTTTGTTCCAAACACATTTCAGTTTATAGAAGTGAGTTATGAACAAGTGCTAGAAACAATTACATCTCTAAATAATACCAATGCAGTGAAGGAATTGATTGCATTTCCACAAAAATTATTAAGACAATTGCCCCATACATTGTGAATTCCTTAGCTTATGTAATCAATAATTACTTGTTACTCGGAATTTTCCCAAACGCTCTTAAAATTGGGCTTGTAACACCAATCTTTAAAAAAGGGTGTCTCTTGTCAGCAGATCCTATTACTTGATATTGCTTGATATTCGCCAACTATTCGCCCATTCAATCTTAATTGAAGCATTTAAAAATAGAAATAAAGTACTACATGATATTGATCACACATATAGTACTAGATGTGTTTTACTTATTTGACACTAAGGCTTTTTAATTCACTACCAGAAATTTATAAAATATACATTAAAACAATTAATTCCACAATTTTCATTAAAAAAGTTTTCAAAAAATTCCTAGTTAATACTGAAAGGAATTATATACATGATTTGATAGATTCAAAATAATCATATGTCAAATAGGAACATAGTTTTTATTTATTTTCGTGTCGTCCCTATATTGCCACTATATATCCACTTTCTCTAGAATGCACTATGTATCCGAAATCTTTAGAATACTAATACTGTATAACTAATTAAGTACTGTCCTTTGATCAAAATATGGTATTTTTAATTGAGGTATTATATTTCTTACTAACATTCATTAGTTGCAAATAAACAAGTTTCTACCCGTGCACAACCATTGGTTTTTACGGAATCAGCATTTTTTATTTACATCTATCCTCTTTAAAAATAAATTTGTTAATTTTCTTTTTTTGTAAATAAACATTATTATTAATTTTTCCATAATTTTGGAGATAGAATTTAACAGCGATATTGGTCGGTAATTATTAGTGGACGTTCTTGGGCCCCCTTTAAATAATTGTAAAACTTTAGCTACTTTTAGTCCATTGGGAATTAAACAATGAGTGAAAGATAAATCATGATATGGGGATTCCTCAAGATAGCGCATTGGGCCCTTTACTTTTTATTTTGTACATTA